GGAGCCCTCACTTTTCCATTTGCCAGCAGGGGCGTACGGATCGTCATACCCACCGTACGCAATGAAGCTACGGTATGACGAGGGAAGGGTGTACTGATCATCCACCCGTACCTGCATTAACTGTTGCTTAGTTGCTGTGGTCCCTTGTTTGTTTCATGGTGGTTCATGTACCTGATGTTGTCCCGCCATTTTTGTCTGTTAGTTCACGGTTTAAACAATACCTGTTGCTGACATTTCACCGTACCGCTCCATCAAGTCAAGGGCTAAGTATTCATTCCTGGTCGACGGTTAAACAATACCTGTTGCTGACGCTTCACCTTGCCGTTCCATCAAGTCAAGGGCTAAGTATTCATTCCGGAAGACGACTGAAACTCATGTACCTTCATTGGAACTACGAATCAAAGTGTGACCTGCTGCATCTTCCCACTTGGGTGTGCAAGGTGATTCCCGCAAGGGGCGCTGAAGCCATTCCGGATTTTGTCTTTCTGAGAAGCGTATGTGCACCGGTAGCCGCTTTCTGTTCAGCTGATGTTCACGGATCAACTGTTATCACAGCCGAGCTCACGTCACGGAGATCACTCACTGGAACATACATCAATCACATATCTTTCGTCTCATGCGACTTTCTATCTGAATTCACGCGACATTTTCCATGACTTCGGATTTTCAACAACACCCCAACCCCGCCCCCCTTTTCTCTCTTGCGTTTTTCTTCGTTTGTTAGGTGTTTCTTCAGGCTTGTTAGGTTGATCTTGAGGCTCGTTTAGTCGACCCTGCCCCTCGCTTTTCGTTTCTTTCTCTCCTGCCTTTCGTTTCTCTTTCTAGGTCTGCTTCTCTTCTGGAGGCTTTTTAGGTGCGTAACCAGGTTTTCTTAAGTCAAGCGCTCGCCAGCTTACTTGTGGGTAATGTCTAGAGCCTAAGTAACGCCAAAGCTATCTACTGGGTTGTTTCCTCTTTAGGGTCAGAGTACGCCGCTATGCAGCTCACTGTGTATGTCAACCTCCGTATCTAGGAGCCCTCGCTTTTCCATTTTCCAGCAGGGGCGTACGGATCGTCATGACCACCGTACGCAATGAAGCTACCGTATGACGAGGGAAGGGTGGACTGATCATCCACCTGCTTTAGGTGTCACTCAGTTGCCGTGGTCCGTGGTCCCTTGGTTTGTTTCATGGTGGTTCATGTACCTGACGTTGTCCCGGGATTTTTTGGTTTTTCCCGAATGCGTAGCAAAGGGTTCTCGTTTAACTCTGGGTAGAGCCTTGTTCGCAACTCGTTGTCTGAGCGACCGCAACCGTTGCCAACCGTTCGCAACCGTCCGCAACCGTCCGGCGCCGTCCGCAGTAGGGCGCTAAGGCGCTGCCAGTGGGGGAAGCTTTTGGCGAGGGTTTTGCATGGAAGCGGGACGCGTCAGATTCGTGTGAAATAGCGAGGAAACGTGTGGAAGCGTAAGATGTTGAAGTGTGGAGGGTGATTTCACTGCGCAGGCGAAGCGTTTTGTGAGATCCGCAGCTTTCTGCGTAGTCACATTGGGATTGGCGTTTGAGGGTGGTGTTTTTGGGGTGTTGGGTGTGGCTGTGACATTGGGATTTGCGTTTCAGGGTGTTGCATCGAAGAAGCTGTGTTTTCGTGACAAGTCTCAGCTCAAATGGCGATTTTGGTGGATGGGTAGACGTCTGGACGTGGGAATTTCGTGGCCGGTAAAGGGAATCATGAGGTCGCGAGTTGTGGTGGAGGTGTATGTCGCTGTGACATTGGGATTGGCTTGTGAGCGGGTGTTGTTTGGAGGGACTGAAATCGCGAAACTGCTTGGCAGGGCTGCTTGATGCGCGTGCTCCGATGGGGCTTCCCGCTTCTTGACTTTTGGAGGAAGTCGCACGAAATGCTCGCTTTGGAGACTTTGACATGTGACTTTTGGAGGAAGTCTCGTCCACAAGAGCGAGTTTCAAAAAAAAGTGTCCTGCAAGAGTGCCCCACTAGAGTGTCCTACAAGAGTGTCGCACAAGACTTTCCCACAAGAGTGTCGTACAAGAGTGTCCCACAAGAGTGTCCTACAAGAGTGTTCCGCAAGAGTGTCCCACAAGAGTGAATTTCATACAAGGTGTTCCACAAGAGTGCACAAGAGTGTCCCACAAAGGTTTCCGACAAGAATGTGCCCTACAAGAGTGTCCCACAAGAGTGTCTCCTACAAGAGTGTCAAAAATTGTTTGGGTGTTTGTTTTCGAGTACGTGTTTGCGTTCGGGTTCGTGGGCTCCATCTTGTTTAATTCACGGTTTGAACAATACCTGTTGCTGACGCTTCACCTTGCCGTTCCATCAAGTCAAGGGCTAAGTATTGATTCCTGAAGACCACTGAAACTCGCGATTCTTCATTGGAACTATGAATCAAAGTGTGCGCTTGCGCTCGCAAATCTCTGCTCACATGTATGTGCGCTCCCACATGTTCTCTAATGGGTGGGGTTTCATGTGGTCCCTGCATACGTGCGCTCCCATGTGAGTATCAATCTGTGCTTTCATACGTCGGCTCGTATACAGTAAGCGCTAAGCGGCTAAGCGTGGTCTCAAACGTGCGCTCTCGTATGAGTATGGTATTAAATCCTCTGTGGAATAACCAGTGGGGGTTGAGAACACCATTCTATAGTGATAAATGGTTGAACCAACCTCTGGGACCACAATGCCCCACTATAGAATCTAGCTTTCAACCCTTGTAGTGTACAGCATAGTTTCTCTATAGAATATCTAGCTTTCAACCCTTGTAGTGTACAGCATAGTTTCTCTATAGAATAAAGGGGGTCACCCTTGAAGGCACTAATGTAACAGAATTGTAGGCTCAAAATCTAAATTATCTAATTGAAACAGCCAGGGGTGGTTCTCATTCTACAAAAGAGGTTGGTATTCTATCTTATAGAAACATGATTGAACATTGCAAGGTTGAATTTCATTTCATAACAAGATTGGACAGAAAATGACAATCCAAAAACAAGATATGTCTAAAGAGGTTGATATTCATTTTATAAAGACAGGGTTGGACACTCACAGGATGATTTTTTCATTTTAGAAAGGTGAGCTGAATTTTGAACAAAAAGATCCTTTTATAGTGGGCCAATATTCACCGGTTATTCCACAGGAATTCTTCTACTGCTCCAGGTTCTCTCTATAGAATCAAAACCTCTGTCCTCTATAAAATGCCCTCAATTGTCATATATTCTCTATAAAATGAGGGTGGTCAACCTAGTGATCCATCAATATATGATTCTCTCACCTCAGATATGCTCGGAGTGGATCTGTTTCAGGTAGGTTGACTTTTGATTCTAGAGAAAAGTCTCTATAAAATGCTAGGTCATTTTGGAGCTCGACCTCCCCCATTCTATATATAGGGGTTATTCGGCAGGGGATGGTATTAAGTTATATGTGTGCACTCTCACATGTGTGTGTGTGTGTGTGCGCGGGTGGTCTCATATGTGCGCTCGCATGCGTGTGTGCTCTGATGTGTCTGATCCCACAGGTGTGCTCTGATACATGTGCTCTCAGCTCATGTGGGCACTCTCAATGCATGCTTTTCTACGTGCTTGCTCCCAAAGTTCCCGTATTGGAGCAAGCACCGTGCTCTCACCTCCGTGCTCTCAGTTTGTTGCGTTCCTGTTTTGAGGTCTCTTGCGGGGATAAAATAGCTGTCCTCTGACTGCAAGTTCTGCGCCTGTACATGAAATCTCCCTCAGCATCTCGTTATGCTAAGTAAAAATGGGTTGGGGAGCATAACAAGTTCTTGCATGTTTCACTCCCACTCCTCACCAGCACTAGATTTACTGAACACAGTTGTTGACATCAGGCGGCAGCCTGAGGATCAAGCTCAAGCTCAGCAGCATCCAATGAACCTGTACATGCCTGCAAGTAGTACAATGCATATGAATGAGCTTGCTGCAACCGACAAAGGACAAGTACAATGCTTCCAAGCTTCCAGGTTTAGTGAGCAGGATCTTCAACAATTCCTTCACAAGTATGTACTGAGGCTGCTGCAAGCACCTCTTGCAGCGCACCCTGCAAAAAGGAATCAAGTGCTAGGAAAAGAGTTGGTTGTTGTTAAGAATGCAGCACTTGAGACAAACTGCACAGCTTCTTCAAGTGTCAAAGCGGAATGTTTGCCGCCAGATTTTCAACTCCAATGTACCAATCTAATCAGCCCCAACCTTCTCGGGCAGTAGAACTGCACGCACATCACCTACCTGTGGACAGAATAGCACTGCTTCTGTCCTGTTTGAGGTGTTCTTAACCATGTGGCGACGAAGGTAATCATATTCGGTGGAGCTGGGGTCGAGGTTGGCACTGTCACGAACATCTTGCATTGTCTCCAATGTATGCCAAATTGAGGCGCGTTGGAATGCCAAGGGCACCCCGCGCAGTCCGCCGGGCCCGCCGGGCAAAAGGGATGGTGGGAGAGAGGGAGGGAAGGAGGGCGAGGGAGGCAAGGGACAAAGAAATAGAACGACCCAATGTCCTCTAACTTGGCAAGCAAAGACAAGCCTGAAACAAGAAGGTCTCGGAAGAACTTGGAAGAACGAGAGGGTCTTGGGGTGAGCTTAAATGCTCACAAACAAATGACCAATACTTTTTGGCCGCCGGGGCCCAGTCACAAGTTCGAACTGGATGCACTTGTTCCAGCTTGACTAAGACCCTCACTCCAGCCAACACGATCCTCTCACCAAGCACCAGCACAAGAATTGCTGAACAGCCACTGAATGCATGAGCACCTCATGGAGTGACCAACTTAAATCAAACATCGCTTTAACTAAAATATATCAAAATATAATAGTTACGCAGCGCCATTTCTGATTTTAAGTTTCTTTCAGCTCTAGCATGGTCATCTTACTGGCACCGTCTTGTGGCATTTTGCATTCGGAGCTAATTTACGAATCAATCAACTGAAATGTGTCTTCTGCGCAGAAGATGCGCAAAGGAACCCGTCTTCCCTGTTTTGAAGTTTCAATGACCATTGCAGGCACACACTACACAGGCCCGACTTGCTGAGGACTAGTACTTTTGAGGATCTCAGCATCCAAAGCCTGAGACTTTCAAGTTGAAAGCGTGGTTTTTGGTTATCAAGTGCCTTGAAGAGTACAGGCCTCTAGTGTTCGTTCAAGGAGTCTTCTCAGCTGGGCTGTGTCATACGTGTGGATCCTCGGACTTCGGACCAAGCATCATCGTGAATGGCAAAACACTCTTGGGCACCAACCGTTCTGCCAAAGACGGCAGGAGTTTTTTGTGAAAGTTCTCTGCGCACCATCTGGAATGGCCACCAAGGCAAACAAAGCAACAAGACACCCAAACTTCTACAATCACTTGCATACCCCACGAGAAGTTTGTCGATCTCTTTTCCTTCCATGTTTCCCAAGACGAGACGAAGCTGCTGCGCAGATTCTGCGCTTCGCAACCCGTGGAAGAGAGCGTAAGCCTCAGCATGATTTTCGAGCAAGTCAGTGGTGAGAAAAACACTACTAGAACAGTCCTGGCGGCTCTTTTTCCCCACATGCAAGAGTCGATTTTTAGTGTTGGGTTCTGAATGGTTCCTACTTGTGCTGGGGAACAACTCCTCGGCCTCCTCCTCCTCCCTCCTACCTACACCAACTTGCACACGCAAACTTCCTCACACCAACTGCCTCATACTCCTCCTTCGCTCCATTAAGGGTTTGCTTCTCCTGGGGTCGGATTCGCCACGGATCCTCGAGTCGGATTGCCGCCGCTCCGGTGCTCAACTCACACCAACTCAACTCACATAAACACAAAAAGTTAAAAGGCTTGTAAAAAAAAACAAATATGCGTTGCAAGATTGATGCTGTTGGTGCACTTAAAAACTGCCGTACCAAGACCAACATCACGCACACGCCATCCAATCCATCTCGCATGACTTGGAAACATGCTGCGTGGTACAGTATACGCTTTTCGGTGCTGCTGCACCTTCTTCTGAAGTTTGCTCGGTGTACGTGGAGGTGTTGAATGCCGCTGTGATTTGCTGCTTGAGGGCTTGCTTCGAACTTTGCTCTGGGGACTAACTTTCTCAACGACATTCCAAAGGTACAACGTAGTGTGGAATTGTCACTTGTGCCGCGGCAGGCACACCACTTTGCACGCTGGAAGGGTTGAATCTCAATTTGTGGGAGGATTTGCCGCTTTGTACCCAATCCAAAACTAGTATGCAGAGTGGGCCCTAGGATTCGGCTGAAAAACGTTGCACAAAACCCCACAAGAGTCCACAAGAGTGTCCGGCCAGAGTCGGGGGCAAGAGTGTCTAGCGTGTCCTCGCAAAGATGTCTCGCGAGCGTGGAGGTAGGATGTCCGGGAACAACCGCAAGAGTAGAACACTCGAGGGGGTGGCATGGCATCTTTTGCCATTCGCAACCGAGAGTGACTCAGAACCCAAACAGTAACACTAGTCCATAGAATCATGAAAGGACCTCACATCTTTCTTTTGACGCAACTTTGAGATTCTCTGGACCAATTGCCACAGACACGACCCTCCGCTTCAATCCGAAGTTTGTAGCGCTGCGTCTTCCGTTTGCCTGAGCAACCTTGGTCAGCATGTCCGACAGGTTCCCGTTGTAAGGGACCACCGGATCCGAGACTTCGTCTTGGGCACGCTGTCCCGAATCAGGGATCGTATTGGACTGATCTGCTTCTCCGGTCCTCACTCCAAAAAACACCGCGTCTGGTGCGTCAAGCGGTTCTTGACGCTCAAAGGGGAAATCTGGCAACTGGCGGGGTCTCCTCCTGCAGCCTGTTCCAATCTTTCTTTTTGCAGGTTCAGAATATCGGCATTCAAGATGATCCCGCCGAAAGATCTTGCTCTAACGTTCCTAGTTTCTGTCATACTGCCACAAAGTTCCAACACCTTCAAAACAAAATTCCGACCTCCCAAATTGAGGCAATGACTGAAGCCATGCAGAGGGTAGACATGACGTCTGGTCGGTTCATCTTCTGAAGGTCACAAAGGTCCAAGGACATAAGCTCCAAAGCTAGCCGTCACAAGTTCATCCGCTGTGTCCAGTTCTGGGGGCGTGTGCTCCATCTCTTTCTCGGGAGGCTCATTGTCTGAGTCGGGTATCCATCGGGAAGGCAAGCATAGATCATCTGGAGGTACTGGAGTTGGTCCCGTGTAACAGCCACACTGTCACTTGGTTGGGAACAAATTGCGCAAATTTGAAAGATGGAGTCGGGCTCTCTGCAAAGGACGACAAGCCCGGGTTGTTCCAAGTTTTATCGCGCAAGCAACTTCTCCTTGGCCGGTGGTGAGCAGATTCTTCTTCAAGTCGATCGTCCCCTTAACGCGCTCGAGAAAACTCAAGGGCAACAAAGGTGGGGTCTTGAAGCGCTGGTCATCTTGCAGCACCAATCCTAATCATTGCATTCACCTACACTACTCCAACTGGAATTTCCAGCTGCTCCACCGCCTGCGTTTCACCACCAACTCCCCCAGCAGAAGGCAAAGGCCCGAAACTTGAGGTTTAATATTTTTTGTTCTTAAACTTGCCTTGGCAAACAAGGGCCGTCGGGTTCCGTCGTTGCCGCCTTTGGGTCGGCCTTGATCTCGCCCTTTTCCACTATGAACACAGCCACGCTCTGTCTTCCTGCGTTCCCAGCAGCTCATGTTCAGGATTGCACTTTGGCCGGCCGGCTGGTGAAAGCAGCACCTCGGTTGGGCGCTTCGCGCCTTAGCTGGTATTCCTCCGGGAACGACTGGAGGAGTTTGATCAGGCGTTTAGTGGACTCGTGCTCTCGAAGTGCAAGGAGCTTCAGCCGCCTTAGTGTCGAAGGCGCGCCGCTCCATGAAGGCAAAGGTCTTCTCTCCGGTGCGATCGGCTGTTCTGCCGTGGATCTGATTCCCCAGCATGGAGAAGCGTCATTGGGCTGTGGTCCTGTGCTGTCGGAAGCATCCAAGGCCACGTGAAAGAGCTCCTGCAGCTCGGCCCTGTGGGATGCTCCACCAAGGATTCCTTTGCGATGCAGCGGCGGGCACCCATCTGGGCCCAAGGGTCACCACCCTTCATCAGCCAAGCTCGAAGTCAAAGTCGAAGGTCGCAAGGACCTTGAGCTCCGCCTGCCACTGTGGAGGTAGGATGTCGAGGAACAACCACAAGAGTGGAACACTCAAGGGCATGGCATCGTTTCCAATGCGCAACCGAGAGTGACTCAAGGCCTGAACCCAAACAGCAACATCTTCATCACAAGAGTTCCAGACAAGAGTGTCACCCAAGAGTGACCTGCAGGAGTGTCACGCAAGAGTGTCCTACAAGGGTGCCGCAGAAACTTTCATTACCTCCCCGCATTCTGGCTGCATCTGCATCTGTCAAGTGCGAGTTTTGTTTATCTGGGCCCGAGAAAATAGTGTCTTGCATTCAGGTTTGTGGCTTCTGTCAGGCTTGCTCTTGTTCTTGGAACTTCCAACGCATTTAGGGGGAAAATTTGATTCCCTTGAGGTGTGCTATGTCTGGATGGCCAACATTCTCGCAACGCAACTGCCAAGACCAAACATAAAGAACTGTAGGATCAAACCAGAGGGTTACATGAAATAATCAACCGTCTTCCTTCATCAAGACATCTGCCATCGCCAAGCAACTCTATAGGACACTTGAAAAAATATTCAGAATGATTAACGTTTCTAAAGCACGCACAGCACCTAGAGGTATGTAGAGAAGAAAGGACAAGAAAAACATGTATGCTATGCAGGCACCTGGCATTTTCTTGTATGCAGAGATACATGGGCATCTACACCAGTTCTCGAGACTTTATACACATGTTTTTGTGATCTATATATTTTGTCCAACTAGCATGGAATGAGAGTAGTCATCCCACCAACACCGTCGCAGGAATATTCAACGCATTTCAATGTGACAGCAGCTCAGGTTGACGCACAGGCTGGCAAGTCCACAAAGCTGAGGGGAAACTTCAATGCCAATCCTGAGTACAGTCCCCGGCCAAATGCTTCATGCTATAGATGTCCACCATGTTCAATGATCTTCCAAAGTGAAACGAGGGATGCCTCCAATCTTTCGACTTTGGAAGCTTAGGCGAAAACGAGCGATCTTTGTGATGTCATTCAGAAGGACTGCGCGATCCATTTTGGACCCTCTTCCTCAGTCAGGCAGCATTTGAAGACCTTCTCCGTTTCGAAATCTCCATTTGCAAACTTGACCCTCCAATATCAATCAAATTTCATCTTGGATTGGAACGTATCCATGACGCAGTGGCACCCCGAATGGAGGTCTTAGATTCCTGAGGCACCTCGGCAGAGGAAAAACAGTAAGCTTTCCACGTGCGCCACCCACCAGCCAATTTTACATGAATGTGATGTGGCATGTGTGGTGAGTATGCCAATGAAAGTATAAACAAAAACTGTAGGCCATGCTATAAAGCATTGGAAACCACGTGCTGCAGGGATTAGAATATATGGCCCGAACCAGAAATCCAGCACCAAGTCCGAGGGCCGAGGTTCTTTTATAATCGTCCTCCATGTCCTTTGAGAGAAGAATGGCAAATGTGACCGAACTCGTTTGGAAAACCATCACAACAGTAGTCAGTAGCGGAATGTGAATCCACGAGCGTAAGCATGCCTAAGCCTTGCATCTCAATGGCCCTTTATCTGAGTTCCCTCTTCAACACCTGTATGATCACTACCCCACATCCCCTTCCTGAGCTGGAAACCTTTGAAAGCTTTCATAAAAATGTGCACTGTCTACGGTTACAAATAGTCCCAATGTGTGTGTATATATATATAAATATATATGTATTTGCATAATTTATACTATTCAGATAATCCGATTTTTTGAAGTTTAAGGCCTGCGCAAATAAATTGGATGAGAAGAGAAAAAAAAACTTTGCATGCAAGGGCGTTGCTAGAGTTTTCTGCTTCTCGGCTAAATTGTCCCTCTACATGTATCAGCATCCACCCTTCTCGTTTTAATCTCCCTCCTCTGCTCATTAAAGCTTCCTTTTGAACAATCCACCTTTCTTCGCAGCAAAATCTTTCTCCTTTCAGCTCAACCCTGTTCAAATTTCAATATTTCTTCGCAGAATGTCTGCCTTTCAGCAAAGGAATGAAATATTTAAGGGTTCTTAGCGCGAACCAGATTTCAATGTGAAATATACATTGCAAATGATTGCAAATATAAATATATATATATAAACCCTGAGAGAGCTCGGCAATGTGCAATCATTTGTCCTTTGTTGGATCTTCTCGTCCTGCTCTTCTGAATGAGTCTCCCAGTCTCCCGTTTGAGCGCAATGTATTGCACAAAGTCACCAAGGACAACTCCGAAATCCAATAGTGGGACTGGAAGGCAACTGGAAGTACTTCTAAGTTTGTGAAAGCCCTGTTTGGCTAACCTTGATTCTGGCAGGAAAAACTGGACTTCATTAATTAAACTTCACTTGCTGCCAAATTTTCAGGAAAAATCAAATCTTGTGAACTCAAGCACCTCAAACTCCTTCAACCATTCCACACAGCTCCTATGTACGGGATGCAAAATGTTCAATAAACTTTTTCCGGAGATCCCGATTATTTCTGCAGAGCTTTCTTTAAGAATCCTGTTAAACTCTGGCCTTTACAGTTCACCATACTCTGCATATGCGGGGCTACACACAGTACACATCAGTGTTCTTATGATGTGCCCTTTCGGAAGGTGGCTTAGGTACCTAAAGCCCACAAAAAGGGCTCTAAACTGTGAACTTGAATCCATCGCTAAAGAATTGCCCAGGTTGCTCGATGCAGCTAAAGTGCTGGTGATACTAGTTACTAGTTACTAGCGGACTTGTCGAAAAAAGGTGCAACTTAACCTGGAGATTGTTATACCTCTGCAGCAGCGAGACCAGAACTGAAAGCTTGGTGAGTGAGGATTCAGATGTGCAGCAGAGTGAATTGGTTCACCAATTGACCTCGGACCTTGGTTCTTGTTTCTTTTTCAGGATTCTCAAGAATGTGGTTCAGAACGAAATGAGGCTGGTTGAAAGATTCACAATCCTCTTTTCGAATCACACAGAAAGTTCCTGATGCTGCACCTGAGCATGAAGTGCACTACATACTGGCAGTCAGTGTGAAACAAACTTTGAACGAAAACATCTGGAGAGTCATGAAGGGAGGTCTTGCGGGATGATGCTCCAAGCTGACGATGGACCTACACCAAACGCTTGTCAAACGCAAATCAAAAAACAGTACGCCAGCATAGACCCCAGATAGCAAAAAGACTTTTCCGGCAGCACCAGCAGCAACGGCGCCAGCGCACAGCAGCGGCCCCAAGCGCACACAGGAGCGGCACCCTGCAGCGGCACCAGCACCCAAGGTCAAGCAACTCTTCCTATATTTGAAATAGGAAACCCAATAGCTCACGCTATCTAGGGAATTGCGCCAGCATAGACTCCAGATAGGAAAATGACCTTTCCGGCAGCACCAGCAGCAACAAGCGCACACAGCAGCAGCACCCTGCGCAAAAGCTTCCAAGCGCACACAGCAGCGGGACCCTGCAGCGGCAACAGCACCCAAGCTCGCAGACGCACCCACACGCAGCTCTTCCTATACTTCCAATAGCTCACGCTATCTGGTGAAAACCAATGCAAAAAGTGCTTCAGAATATTTAAATGTTAGAACAGGAAGCCAAATTCAAACAAAAGTCAATAAAACCAACAACTTTAGTATTGGATTTGCTTGGATTTCAGTGAAAGGAAGGGGGTCAAACGTTTGAATCAAAACCAACCAGTCACAACCTACTTTGATCACGCAAGAACATGTGCCCTATCAAAGCACCTGTTCCCACCATTCCTTCTCCCACTTCATCATGAACCCTGAGAGCCCTGAGCCCTCACAGAGTTGACTTTCACCATAAATATCATGTTGGCCCGATGAATCAGTGAGACAACGCAAGCCCCAATGTTGTCTCCCAAAACGAAGAATCCCCCATTCACACCAGCTCTTTTTTGCTGCGTCTTCCCTCGTTGCTTGAAAGAAAAGGAATCACCTGACTCCTGCTCAGCTTGCAGCAGTCACACAAAAGCTGGCCTTTCCAAAAGATAATGTCAGCCATAGTCCTTGAAAGAATGCAGTGCATCTTGGGACTATGGCCAAGCTCGCGCAGGGGAGCGGGGCCCGCTCCGCGCAAGTATTCGTACCAGCGCTATACTAGTCCTACTGTTACTAGTACTACTACAACTACTACTCATACACCAACAACAACAACAACAACAACAACTACTACTACTACTACTACTCCTCCTGCTGCTGCTACTACTACTACGACTACGCTTGCAGCGCCTTCTACGGAGCGGGGCCCGCTCCTGCAGGGGAGCGGGGCCCGCTCCGCTTGTAGTATTCGTACCAGCACTACTACTCCTACTGATTCTACTACGACAACCACTACAACAACAACAACAGCAACAGCAACAGCAACAGCAACTACTAATAATAGTAACTGTAAGAAAAAATACTAATACCACTACTACTACTACTACTACTACTACTACTACTACGACTACGACTACGACTACGACTACGACTACGACGACGACGACGACGACGACGACGACGACGACGTTTACGACTACGACTACTACTACTACTACTACCACTACCACTACCACTACCACTACTACTACTACTACTACTACTACTGACGACGACTACTACTACTACTCCTACGAGTACCCTTGCAGCGCCTTCTACGCCCGCTCGCGCAGGGGAGCGGGGCCCCGCAACACTCCACCAATCGCAAGAACAATCAGTACTTGTCGGGAAGACAATTCAGACAAGCATAAAGGATACTTGTATCGACCCGGCCTCCGTCCATGCAAAGTTCTACCCCGTCGTCCACGGCATCTCATAACGTCCATGGGGCGTGGTAAGTTCATCACCGACACATGTCCGCACGGCGTTGGAACAAGTCCAACAAGTTCAGACCTATCATTCGTTTGTTTGTTGGTTGTTGTTGCTGTTGTTGCTCGGTGTGCGTGAGTCTGTGAGTGAGTCACGCGTTTCGATGTTGTGTTGGAAGTTGATTCCGAGTCTGAGTCGAAACAAGATCTGCTTCGGCAAGGATTCTCCACATGATTTGGGAACCCATCAGGCTCTGCTCAAAACTGACGAAAGCGCCAGCTCCGACTCTGAATCCATATAGGATGTGCTCCGCAAGTATTCTTGTCCAGATGATTTGGGAACCCATCAGGTTCTGCTCAAAACAAGGAACATGTAAAAAAGAAACCACCTCCCCTAAAACAAAGAGAGCTCGAAGTTATGCGGGTGTGGTTTTTACGCGCTTTTTGTTGATTTTCTTAGATTTTGTAATGTTTTGAAAGAGTTTCCATGGCTGCGGACTAGATATGTTCTTGTGCTCCTGTTTCCCAAACAAACCAACGTTTTTTCAATCAACCTCTGGATCCCACCTTGCCCATAAGCATTCTCATTGTTTCAAAGCTAGCACTTTTTGGGTTTCTCCCCCCACATTCTTTATGACATGGAGAGAAGATCATTATCTTGAAGCGCCTTGTGCCCACCAGGCCCAACAAAAGTTGAGAAACTTGCGTAGTAGTACTGCATGACTGATTGGAATTGGTTTTTTGCATGGCCTTCTTGACGCCCATGCCCATAATAAGCCTCATCCTCATTCTCAGGGTCATAGGGAACCATTCTGCGAGCATTGGGAGTTCACATGCTCATCTCCACTGCCCTCACCCAATGGCTCTTCAGGTCTATGCCTATGCTCCATATCCCCACATCTACGACGAAATCTTCCAAAGAACCTTATGAAGCCCAAGGAACGATCCAGCCATAGATACACTGAGGGTCTGAATTGGCTGTGTGGCCACTACTCATTCCCAAGCTCATGAAGAACCTTCTCTTTACCCCAACCTTCTTGCCCACACATAGACATACATGATGTCAGGTTGCACCAAACCTGGCATGCTCAGCATGCTCCCAATGTTCACCCAACATTGCCACCATACAGCAGACCCAACGTTCCACCATTGAGACCATACAGTATAGGTCTCCACCCTCCACCACATAGAGCCTGAATCCCCCATTCCTTCTCCATGTTCTGATATGTAATGATCCAATTGGCATGGCTCTGATCTGTCA